TCTGTCTTACTGAAACAGGAAGGGTGGCGTGCTGTTCCTCTTCCAGACACCAGATGGTGCGATTGGCACACGCAACTTAATAGAGGAAAAATGCGTCTTGAGCTTCCAAGATCGATTTGGGTTTTTTAATTTTATTTATTTGGGGGGAGGGTAGAGGGAGGGAGGAAGTGAGGGAAAGAAACATCAATGTGTAAGAGAAGCAGATGTGTGAGTGAAGCATCCATTGATTGCCTCTCGCAAGCCCCAAAGTCGGGGAGGGGTGGGGAGAGGAGCCGGGGTGATGAACCCGCAACCCAGGCATGTGTCCTGACCCAGAATTGAACCCACCACTCTTCAGTTTGCGGGACCCTGTTCAGTCGGGCTATGATTGATTTGAAAGACAATGCAAGGGGTCCTTCCTGATAGAAACTGGCAAAGTTGTGACTGCAGTGAATCTAACCTGATAAAAGTCCTGGTAAGTGGAGCTCCCAGGGAAACGAAAGCTAGGGGGAACTTGTACACACCTTGAAGAGGCAGGAATTTCATTTAGATTTCGGGATCCAAACCCAGAAAAAACTTAAAAGTGAAGCTTTCTTCATTCCTGACATCGTGATTAGAAACCATCTTTCACTCCTATCCAGGAGAAACATCAAGGGAAAGCCCAGAGGCTCAAATGGCCAAGTTGAAAATACAGTTTTTAAACATAAATGTTCCCATAATGGCCTCTACTGGTGCTGCAAACCACTCAGGGGATGAGGGCTAAACTGCGCAGACGAGAATAGAAATATTTGCTTCAAGAAAAGGAAAATAAGCTTCTGATCAATCCACCTGCATATGAGCCGGGCAAGAATTCAAATACAGGGTTTGCAAAAGTAGGTTTACAATTGTGAGTCTGAGAAACAGTTTATTGTTGTATTATTATTTATAAATGATTGTATTATTTCTTTGTGTTACAACTGTAAACCTACTTTTGCCCACCTCGGTATGTGTGTCTAAAGGAAATATTCGGGTTTGTTTTGGCTTTGTTGTTTTTTTTTCTTTTTATGTACCATTTTGTCACTTCATTACTAACAGAAGAGTGGTATGTGATCTGATTTCAGGAGCATCCTCTGTCTCTCTCTCACACACACACACACACACTCACACTGATAAAAGTGAAGCCCAAAGTGATGAGCACGATAGTCACAGTTCTCTGACTGTCTGAAAGCACAACACCCAAACCATAGCTTTTTTTTTTTTTTTTAAGTAGAAGAGTCATTTGCTATTGAATGTTTTCTACTGGTGATTCCAAGGAAGTTTTGTTTGTTTGTTTTTTAAGTAGATGACCTTTTCACAAGTAACACTTTGTGCATTAAATATTGCCATGTCCATCACACAGATGTGGAATTTAAGTCTTAGAAAAATGAAATATTTGAGTCACATACCTAGGAAGTGGGAAAACTAAAACCAGATCTGTTAAAAAATTGTACAGTAGAGACTCACTCTTTGGGCCAGCTTCTAGAGTGCGTGTTTCAAAGTCAGGAGGCAGGGTGTGTGGCCGCTATCTTTTCTAAAGGGCACATGTGCTGATACCACAAGATTTCATCTCAGTAGGTCCTACGAAGATCAGGATGTGGAAGAACCCTCCCTTTTAGAGATTAAAAGGGTTTCCTGTTCTTCAGCTGCCACCTTCCACCAGCTGAAAAAAAAAATGTCTCCACCTTTTCTAACTGTGGCACCAAATAGAGAAGCAGTTTATAAACATTAAAAACATAATTGATCTGGATAAAAAGGAGTAGAGGAGACTGTGAGGGAATCAAAATTCCAGACAGGAACCAGTACAGAATGAGCCAGGAAAGTAATAGTTAATACCATTAGAGCAGGGGTTCTCAACCAGGAGCAGTTTTGCCCCAGGGACATTTCAGGTGATTATGGGGGTTGTTACTGGCAGGTAGAGACAGGACAGGGGCTAGGGTCAGGCACAAAAAACAAGGGCAAATGGAGGGAACACCTAAAAAAAATCTTAGTGTTCAAAATTAATACAATAACCAGTGTCACCCCAATAAATTCAATTACAAAGTATTTTTAAATTAATGCAAAAAAATTCATGATAGACAAAATGTTACAATTTAAAGAGAGGATCAATAACAATGCTGACCAGAGCCATGTTGGGAACTGAGGCAGAAGGAAAACATCAGAAATACTGATCCTGTCTTTATTTAAGGAAGTTTAATTAATTAAGTTTGTAAATAAAGTTAAATGTTGAGGAAGTAAATAGAATGTCCCTCTGTTGGCATTTGTTTGATTTTTTTCTCATGATAAATTTGATTATAGGTTTTGGGGAGGAAATCGAGATAAAGTGCCATTTTCATCACATGATATTAGAGTGCATCACACGATGTTAGAGTGCATATAGTCAACGTGCTCACTGCTGTGAATGTCCGTCCACCTTGACCCCTGGCTGAAGATCTGTCAGGTTTCTCCACCACAAAGTTACTCTTTTTTCCTCGTTTGTACTGTTCTCTTTGGAGGGAAGTCACTATGCACAGCCCACATTTAAAGATCAGGGAGTTATGCACCACCTTAAGGTTTTTTTGGGGTTTTTTTGTTTGTTTGTTTGTTTGTTTTCATCTTAAGTTTTTATACATACTATCTGGTAGTCAATTGAAAATAATTGGCCCTGGCTGGTGTGCTCAGTGGATTGAGCGACAGTCTGTGAAGTAAAGGGTCACTGGTTCACTTCCCAGTCAGGGCACATGCCTGGGTTGCAGACCAGGTCCCCAGTAGGGGGCACACAAGAGGCAACCACACACTGATTTCTCTCCCTGCCTTTATCTAAAAATGAATAAATAAAATCTTTTAAAAAATAAAAAGCAAAATAGCTAAAATATGTATTAACACATGTAAATTGGCCCTTCGGGTAAGGCAAATTCAACCCCCACACCCTTCTTTTGTTCTTAAGGCTGGATTAGTAATAAAATAATAAAATTGATATGAGCCTAGATTTGTTGTGGTTTTTAATGTCCTTAATTGGCTTTTAAAAGTAGGGGTAATTTTTTGCCCTGGCTGGAGTAGCTCAGTGGATTGAGTGTGGGCTGTGAACCAAAGCATTGCAGGTTCGATTCCCAGTCAGGGCACATGCCTGGGTTGCAGGCCATGACCCCCAGCAACTGCACATTGATGTTTCTCTCTCTCTCTTTCTCCCTCCCTTCCCTCTCTAAAAATAAATAAATAAAAATCTTTAAAAAATTATCTTAAAAAAGTAGGGGTAATTTTCTATTTAAGTAATAATTAAAGGCACAGTTCAACAGTAAACCAACACTATCAAGTGACTCACCCACAGGGACCCTATACAGTAGTGAATGCGCAGGACAAAAGAAATGATTCACCCCAGGGCAGGTCATCTAGGGACAGCAAGAGATTTCATCATGCTACTCAGAATGTGCACAATTTAACTGATTGTCTATTTCTGGAATTTCCACTGAATATTTTCAGACTGTGTTTGACCTCAGATAACTGAAACCACAAAAAACAAGACAGCTGATAAGGGGGAGTCGATGACTGTAGTTAAAAAGAAATAGCTTAATAATTTCTTGCTGGAGACTGCCTATTTTCATACCTAGGGCAGAAGAAAATGTCTCAGAGTAACCCAACTCTGTAAAGTTTATTGTACAATAATTTTTGCACTATCATTTTTATATTTGATATACAGTCATATCTGAGAAGGACAAAGGGAGTTAAAATACATATGAACTCATGTAAATTGGTCCTTTGGGTAAGGAGAAGAATTCAGCCCCCACACCCTTCTTTCATTCTTAAGGCTGGATTAGTAAGAAAACAATAAAATTGACAGAAGACTTGATTAACAGGAGAAAAACAAATTTAATATGTGTGCACAGGAGAATCACAATATGATACTCAGATCATAAAATGAAGCTTAAAGAAATTATCAAACCAGGCACCTTTTTATACTTTTTAGACAAATAAATAATACATTTTTTGTGAAATTTACAGACCGCCAAACAACCACAGACCAACAACAAAAACAGTGCTCTTTAGAAAGGAATCTAAGCAAAATTTGGGCTTGGGTAATAAACTAATAAAGGTTTACAAGGCTTGTTTATGTACCCTTTGCCTTTGGATTCTTTTCATTCTTGTGATAAGGTTGTCTCTCAGCCCTGAGGAGAAGGAGCACCTATCAGATGGAGATTTATCTCCTGCTTTTAGATGCACAGAGAGGTCAGCATTTTCTTCTGGCATGGGCAGGTGCCTGAATATGTTGTCTATTGCATTCCCAAGGATGTTGGACTTCAAAGTTTGGACTTTTATGTAATTTTCCATTTAAATCCATGGCTTATTAAGATTGTCAGAGAGTTCTTTGTCTAAGGCATAACATGTTCTTCATGTTAAGAGTCAGCCATGGAAATTCCTTTTGTAAACAGCAATTTCAAAAATATTACAGAAGATGCATTAACAATTATGAGAGCACAGGTGTCTCCCATCCTGACAGGGTCTGATTCAGGGAGATGATAAGCAGATTAAAGAAGGAGAGCCCTGACTGGTGTGGTTCAGTGGATTGAGTGCCCACCCATGAAACAAAGGGTGACGAGTTCAATTCCCAGTCAGGGCACATGCCTGGTTGCAGGCCAGGTCTCTGGTGGGGGGCGTGTGTAAGAAGCAGCTGATAGATATTTCTCTTGTACATCTCTCAGAAGGGAAAGGAGCACATCAGTGTTTCTGTCCCTCTCTTTAGCCTTCCCTTCCCCTCTCTGTGAAAATAAATAAATGAAATATATTTTTTAAAAAGGACAAAATACTATTTTTCTTGTATTATTGTAACTCTGCCAAGAATGCCATCTGGGCATGACAGAGACTGTGGTTCTGGATTGTTTTCCCATGGAGTTTTCTGTTGGTTATTAAGATATGTCCCCCATGACTGCCTTTTTAATATGAGATCTATACATCTTACACCTGACCTGTGGGACTCCTTCCTTGGTACCAGTCTTCTGGCAGTCAGGTCCCTTTCAAGAAAAGCTGTTAAGATGGATAATCTGGGAAGCCATAGTAGCAGCCCTGACATGTTAGACCAGATCCAGTCCCTGTCCAATGGCTGTACATCTGACTTACCTACCCTGATCAGCTTGCTAGTGGGCCACAACCGGTAAGACCTTCCGCCCACACTTAACTACCATGGACAGCTCCCAGTTGTCTCCCAGGTTAACAGTTGTCAAGCTTGAGCCTTGTGCCAGTCCCTGCATATCCCCAAGCACAAAAGTCAAACTCTATGAGTAATTGAGAAACTCTCTGCCCTTGGCTGAGATTGACAGTGGCAACTCTTTCTCCCACCAGAGTGACGCTAGTGTATATGACGGGGAAAGAAAGCAGAGCCCACCAACAACTTCACTTAAGGAAATTCTATTACCCTTCTTGATTACTCTCCTTGCCGCTTATAGACACTTCAGGTGTGTGGTAAACTATTAACAACAAAGCCTGTTTTATAATCTCTTAATGTGACTTACATAGAGCATCTATACCCTCCTGTTTAGTATTTTGGGGGCTTTCAATAAAACTCCAAAACAAATATAAAGGTTAAACTTGCATTTGATTATAATGTATTTAGGGTTATGCCTAAATACATGGTATATTTTTTAAAAAGGTATATTTAAACTTGCCACCTGAAAATGCACCACTTCCAAACTTTGCTTCAGATTCCACAAATTTGATTTCCTTCTAATTACATATGTGTAAATGAGTTGATAGGATTAACATTCAACACTAAAAATGCATATATAGTGCAATGCTGACACCAATTCCAATACGTGTTTTTTTCTCCTCATCAAGCAGTTCTCTGACACCAGCCAGGTGTCCTACAATTCAACTCAATCCTGATACTATCAACCCAGAAAGAGCATCAGATTCCATAAGTTAAGGTCTCACTCCTATAAGACTGACCACACCTGGCTAGCGAAGCTCAGTGGATTGACCACGGGCTGCGAACCAAAGTGTAGCAGGTTCGATTCTCAGTCAGGGTACATGCCTGGGTTGCAGGCCACGGCCCCCAGCAACCACACATTGATGTTTCTCTCTCTCTCTCTTTCTCCCTCCCTTCCCTCTCTAAAAATAAATAAATAAAATCTTTTTTTAAAAGCCATAGAAAATTGGTTTAAAAAAAAAAAGGCTGACCACAAATTCTGATGTCAATCATAAATCCAGGTAATGACCTGTGCTTCTGATGAACCAGCAACAAATCAGAGGTTTCTGTGACCCCCTCCTTGGGTTTGACTAACTTGCTAGAGTGGCTCAAAAGGCTCAGATATCAATTTACTTACTAGATTACTAGTTTATTACAAGCTAATGAAGAGATACTTAGGGAGAGGTCCAGATCAAACAAGCTTCTGTCCCCGTGGAGTTTAGGGCCCTGTGTGGCAGCACATGGATACTTCTGGTTCCCTAACCTGGAAGCTCTCTGAATGTCAGCCTTTTGGTTTTTATGGAGGCATCAATCACACAGGCATATTTGATTATATCAGTGATCCCCAGCCTATTTGTGAACCAGGGACTGGTTTCATGGAAGATAATTTCTCCACGCATAGGGGAGGAGGAGGATGGTTTTGGGATGATTCAAACACATTACATTCAAGCTCACCTCCTGCTGTGCAGCCCAGTTCCTAACAGGCCTGGACAGGTAAGGGGGGTTGGGGACCCCTGGATTTGATCATTGGCTATTGGTGATTGAACTCAATCTTCAACCCCTCTCCCCTCCGGGAAGTCAGTGAGGAGGTGGGGCTGAAAATTCCAACCTTCTAATCTCCAAGGTTCGTCTCCCTGGCAACCAGCCCACCTTCAGATTACCTAGGAACATTCCAGGCACCTCATTAACATAACAAAAGGTACGCTTAATGGTATCTTTACTTAAGAAATTCCAAGGATTTTAGGAGTCCTGGGCCAGGAAGGGCACACAGACCAATTGCCTATTTCTCATTATAAATTATAAAATTAGACATGGTGTCCTGTGATACTGGGGCATCAAGTAGCAAAGGTGTTGGGCTCCTTGGAGAGAAGCAAGTGAAAACCCCTGTGGTCTGTCTTGGAGATCTAATGGCCTTTCTACCAATCAGCTGTTTCAGCAATTTTGCCATCTACATAGTAAGTGCTCAATAAATATTTATTGATTAATTTATTTATTTATAAAAATTGCATCATGCAAGACATATTTTTCATGTCAGTATACACACATCTCATTTAAGATTTAGTTTTTTTGCCTTTTAAGTTGAACATTTTTCAGATAACTTTTGGAAATGTGTTCTTTCTGTGAAGTTATTATTTGTTCTCTTTGTCCACCCCACCACTGGGTGTTCATTTTTGTGCCTCATTGACATCCAAGGTACAGATGATATCTACCTTAGTTTTTGTTACCATCATCTTGGTAACCTCCACTACCAGGAAATAAGTGGTCTGTCTCTAAATTTCTTTAATCCAATTTATTCCCTACCCTACAGTTTATCTTATCACTTACAGACCCTTCACTGAAGGGGTCTAACAGTTTTAAATATTTAGTACCAAACTCTTAGCCTGAGATGGAAAAGATTTCAGCCTTCTGACAGGTCTCTGGCTCAGAACAGCTCTCATCAATCCTCCCATTTAAATTTTAACAGATAACAACCCAGATTAAACTCCCCTGTAGCTTCTATTTACCACCAGATTTTAATCCAAAAACCCTAATCATCTCCCATTTCCACCCCCCCAGATAATATTTCATTGCATGAATATACTATGCTTTATCTATTCATCAGCTGAAGGATATTTGAGTTGTTTTCACCCTTTGGCTATTATCAGAAATGTTGCTATGAACATTTACAAAATAAGTTTTTGTGTAGACATATATTTGTGTAGACATTTCTTGTATATAGTGCCTATGAAAGGAATTAACTCTATGTTTAACTTTTTAAGAGGCAGTATTTTCTGCCTCTATTGAGATGATCATATGGTTTTGTCCTTTATTTTAAATTTCATATATTTTTTATTTATAGAGAGCGGGGAAGGGAGGGAGAGAAACATCGATGCGAGAGAAAAACAACTGGCTGCCTTCCATAGGAACCCCGACTGGGGACTAAACCTGCAACCCAGGCATGTGCCCTGACCAAGAATTGAACTGGCAACCTTTCAGTTTGCTGGATGATGCCCATCCAACTGAGCCACACTGTCCAGGGCTTGTCCTTTATTCAACTGATATATTACATTGATTGAGTTTCATATATTTAACTAAATTCCTTCCTGGAATAAACCTCACTTGATCATGGTGTATAATCCCATTTATGTGTTGCTATATTTGGATTGGTAGTACTTGTTGAAGATTTTTGCCTCTATATCCGTAAAGGATATTAATCCATAGTTTTCCTGGTATATCTCAGTCTGGTTTGGGCATCAGAGTGTGATGGTCAGTTTTATGTGCAGCTTGGCTGGGCTACACCTCCAGTTATTCAATCAAACACTAATGGAGATGCCATTGGTATTTTAAAGGTATTTTTCAGATGTACTTTAAATTCACGTCAGTTTAAATGCATAAAGTAGATAATCTACATAAAGTAGATTATCCTAGATAGCTTGAGTCGACCTAATCCAATTGATTAAGGCTTTAAGAGGTGAGCTGAGGCTTCCCTGAAGAGAACAAATTCTGCCTTGGAGAGCAACTGGAGCCCATGAGAAGAGTGCCAGACTTCCAACGGCTGCCTTAAAGATTTGGAGGGTTTCAGACTTGCCGAGACAGTTCCCACAATTGTGTAAGACTATTCTTAGCAGTAAGTTTCTCAATATATTATCTCCTGCTGGTTCTGTTTGTCTAGCTGAACTCGAACATATAATGTAGGGTAATTAATACTGACCTTATAGGATTAGGAAGTGTTCCTTTCTCTTCTGTTTTCTGGAACACTTTGTAAAGGGTTTAATTGTTGTTTATTTGTTTTTAACTTTCTGTTGTTGACACTATTATAGATGTTCCCATTTTCCCCTCTTTTAGGGGGAAAATTTATTTACTTTTAGAGAGAGGGGAAGGGAGGGAGGAAGAGAGGGAGAGAAACATCAATGTGCGAGAGAAATGTCCATCAGCTGCTGCTTACACTCCCCCAGTCAGGACTTGGCCCACAACCCAGGCATGTGCCCTGACTAGGAATCAAACCTGTGACCCTTTGGTTTTTCAGGCCGGCACTCAATCCACTGAGCCACACTAGCTGGGGCTAATTTGAAGTTCTTCTGTCTCAAATATATCTGTGATGTCTTTTTGTATTTGTGTTTATTGACCTACTTTATACTTTTTAAAAAATTCCTGCATTATTATATTCTATAGTATAATGTCAGCTTTGTGTGTATGTGCCTGGCTGCTCTGAGCTTAAATCCCAGCGACAAATCTTTCTAGCAGTGAAGGTTTGGGAGTTTGATCTTGTTTTTTTGTTTGCTTGTTTGTCTGTTTGAGGGATTTGGATAGAACTGTGGAAAAAGTCTGGGATTTCTGGGCTGCACTGTTTTCTGTGGTTCTCCCTGCTCACCAACAGCCCATCCCCCTGCACGTTCTCAAGTCTGCCGGGTTTTGCTTTCTTTGTTCTATCCCCCTTAGATAAACTTTAATCTTTAAAATTTTGTTGCAAAAGGAAACAGACAAAACAAAACATGAATCTCTGTGATTTTAGTAGTCTGACCACATTATGCCTTATTGCAATCATTTGTAGTCCTAGATCCAATAAAAATTAGGTTTTTTTGTGCTGATAGTTATGGATTTCAGTGATAACAGTATAGGCTTAACCACAGCAGATTAAACAGTTAAATGAGAAGAGGGATTTATAATACATAGAATATGAAATCTTCTGAGTCAGAAGTGGAGAAGGAAAGTGGGTGTGGGTTATTTTTTTTTCTGCCTACCCATGCTTGCCAGGTGAAATTAAGCAGATTATGTACACAGACTTAAATAATTACAGAAAACAGATTCCATATAAAGAAGAGAAGAAGCAGCCAACTGTTGATTACATGGGATTTTAGGATCACCAAAATTCCAGAGTTTTTTTATTTGAAAATTTGAATTTTCATGTTGACTCTCTTGATTCTTTTTTTATTTAACCTTTATTGTATTTTTTACTACTTACTACCCCACCTTGATTCTTAAATATTGGCCATGCATGTAAATTGTCGCCGTAAAAAACTTCACAATATAAAGAAAACATGTGCACTGTTGAATTCCGCCCACAGCTACCATTTTGCCACCTTTCATGGCTTATATAGCCTTCAAAGGTGAAGTCAATGTTTTCTATGCACAGTCAGACTCAATAAATCTAGTGCTCACTGCCTTCGTCAGGCACTACTCTTGTTTCCCATGGACAAAGTCAGAAACCGGGCAGTCGTTAGTTACACTTCCCTGCCCTCACAACTATCCCCCAATTTTCAGACGTAACTCATTATCTCTCGGTGCCACTTATTTCCCCATTCTCTCCGCCACCCTTCCGTCTTTTCCCTAGAGCCTAAATCCATCACCACTCTAACTGATGCCCCCTTGTCCACTGTTGCTCCCATCTCGGCTATTCTCTCTCTCATCAGCCAGAATCTCCTTAAAATACAAATTTACTTCTGTTTCTTTCTCTGCTTAAAACCTTACAAAGACTTACCATTGTCCTTAGCTAAAAGGCCAAATGTTTTAACTATATAGAGAATTGCCTGGCATATGTATCTGTTCAAATTATAGTTAAATTAATAAATATATATAATAAATAAAATATGTAAAATCAAGAAAAGAAAATGCAAGTTTTTTTACTTTAGTTACCAATTTTGAGTCAAAATGTGATTCAGAATTATTGATTTAGGTCCCCTGATGGCTAAAGTTAAAAGAACACATTGAAAGAATATACTAATTTTCTGAAGAAAAAGTTTTTCTGTGACTTCCTTTTTAAAATAATAATGCATTTTTCAAATCTGATACAAATTTACTATATGATTATTATAGACAAGCCAATCTCAATTAGGCAATAAAGTTGCCTCTAGGACATGCCTGAAATCATGGCATAATTACATCAATTATGAAGAGAAGAAACTTGTCGTCCTATTATCTGCATAAGGAAAATGCATGTATCTATGAAGGAACATCAGTTTTAAGTACTAAAAACTTGAAAAAGGGGAGAATAGCACCAGAGTACCTCAGAGTGAAAGACAGTGATATTTATATTACTGGTTATGCTGGGACAGGAGCACATGCCACAGTGATCCTGGGAAAACTGAAACATATGAACAGATTTCTAAAAACTATGTACTTTACCAAAACTCTCAAGAACAAATAGAAAGTCTAAAAAATCCTTTAACTAGTCACTCATAACTTAAGAATTTCACAGTAACTTATTTTTTACTAATTAACATTACAAGGAGATGTATTAATTTAATATATAGCCCTTTTCCTTAGTATGTTTTTAAATCCAAAAGTAAATTATTTTTAAATTATTCTTTTCATGAAAATCTTCATTGATTTTGACTAACTGTACTTATTCTTTCCTCTCTGCTTTCAACCAGTGTACAACATTGCTACCTTCTGAAAATCACGTATATCCTCACACTGAAGAATATTGACTATGATGTGAAAGTCAAATTTAGCTGCTGTTTGTTTTTTCCCCCACAGATCTTGTTACACAAAAACAACCAGCTTTGCTTTGTGGTCATAATCCAGAGCAATCAAATATGAATCATAGTGAGGATGAAATAAGGAAAAATAATAAGTGGAGAGAAGGAGCCGAAGAAGAAAGGGAAAAGGATATAAAAGATAAACTGGAAGAGGAACAAGAGGAGGTGAAAAAAGAAGGAAAAATGGAAAATGAAGAAAGACATCTGAAGAAAAAATTAGTCAGTAAACCCCTTATGGACACTCTCTGGGCAAAGTTTAAGCTAAAGAAATGCCCCAGCATAGGAGATAGTCTTATGCTTGCATTTGAATTTAACATGACAGAAGACCAGGCAAGACAACATATTTCTTTACTGACAGAGTCACTTGTATAGTATTATTACCCATATAAACCAACACTTTCATTCTTGGATCAATCACCTCCCCACCTCATTTTTTTTTGCAGGTAAATGAGTGGTTTTTTAAAAAGAAGGAAGAATTCAATAAAGAAATGTGTAAGTGGAAACATAAGAGAAAGCTCAAGAGGTAAGAATGTTTTATATGTAGAACGTTAAATTGTAAGGAAGTGAAAAAGGAATATGGGGTAGAGCAAAAGTAGGTTTACAGTAATGAGTATGTAAAACAGAGTTTATTATGATATTATTATTTATTAATTATTGCATCATTTTCCATATGAACAACTGTAAACCTGCTCTTGCCCCACCTTTCATACCAACTTTTGGGACACTTCGTATTCACATAGTTATTGGATAGCCCAGAAACATTTTCATGTTTCTAGCCAGTGGCAAAGAACGATTTCCTGTCCTCTCTTTCACTCCGCTCAGCACACAGAAGTGCGTGTGCAAACATTGACATGCTGCCGTTTACCATTTTGTCATATTACCACACATGCCACAACAGCCATCCCATTTTTATTGATTGCAGTATAGAATTAATAATTTCATTTTGTTTATTCTTTAGATATTAAATATATTTGATGCTTTTCTTTCTATTGGCAGAAACTCACATGATTGAAAGATGTTAAGAAAAGAACATCAGTATTTTTTAAAAGATTTTATTTATTTATTTGTAGAGAGAGGGGAAAGGAGGGAAAAAGAGAGGGAGAGAAACATCCATGTGTGGTTGCCTCTTGTGTGCCCCCGACTGAGGACCTGGCCTGCAACCCAGGCAGGTGCCCTGACTGGGAATTGATCCAGTGACCCTTTGGTTGGCAGGCCAGCACTCAATCCACTGAGCCACACCAGCCAGGGCAAACATTGGTATTTTTAATAGCACTAGGCTATATATAGAATTTTTACATGTTATTTGTGTATCTTTATATACATATATTTATTTATTATATCACTTAGTCATCACTCTAAACCATAAAAAAGGAAACTAAATTGCTGGGAAATAATGATTTCACCAAGTACAAGTTTCTAAATGTCTAAGCTTGAACCGGTACTTTTTTTATCTCTCAGGCATTTCCATTCTAGGTGATGTCAATTCATATCTCATATGTAGTGTTTATATATTCCTATTTTCTCTATTAGAATTCTCATGTGATGTTTATACATTCCTGATTTCCTCCATTAAAATTCTCATGTGATGATATCTCCAATTTCTTGTACCTTTCCACCTTTATAACTTCTTTGACTCTGAAAATTTTAAATGTGTTTTTGGAAGATCCCCTTGTTTTTTAGTGGGAATGGTTTTCCAAATTTAACATTTTTATGTGTGTTAAGTATATGAACTGTTCTGTGGAACATTTTGTATGACACCATTCTTATGTATAAGTGGAGTTCTGAGAGGGTATACAAGAAAATCTTTGTTTTTAAAGATTTTATTTATTTATTTTTAGACCGAGGGGCATGAGAAAGAAAGAAGAGGAACATCGATGTGAGAGAGAAACATCAATCAGTTGCCTCTCACACATGACCCATCCAGGAAGTGAACCCGCAACCCAGGCATGTATCCCGACCAGGAATCAAAGTGGCAACTTTTTGCTTTGCATGACCACACCAACCAACTAAACCACACCAGTCAGGACTAAACAAGAAAATATTAGCAATTTTTAATTCTGCGGAGAACTGGATGAGGGGTACAAAGAAGTTTCTAGACATTTCATTTTTACACTACTGTGTATTTGAAGCTTTCTAATGTAAGTGCATTGATTTCATTTAAATAAAAAATCAGAGAAGAAATTACAAACCTCTGTGGAAATGTTAGAGAATACAAGGGAGATCTGCTATAGGATATAATGGGTTAAATGCATCCTGCAATCTGTTAGTACATCTCTAACTGCCCCTTCTGCCTTTTGTCTACAAACGTGACTGGGCTCCTGAAAGGTGATTTTTGTCTGTGTCTGTGACTGAATGAGAGGACCCCTTTTTCAATGACGCATATTCCACTCCAGGTATAGCTCGGTTCAAGGGGTAGAGCTTACAGCGGGGCAATGACCCATGGAATCCCAGAGTTGCAAAGTAACCCACCCATTTGGGGGTATGTCCCATTGCAAATTCCAGCAGATAACATCTTTCCCAGGCGGCGGGGCTCGCAGCAGCATAGCTTTCTGATCGTCAGGGCGGTGTCAGTGTCTTATGAGCCAGGATGTGGAAAACAGTGAGGAGCGCCTCAGAGTCTTACAGGTGACCCCAAATATCCCTCCACTTTTCCTGATCACACAAGGGCTTGCTCAGAATCCTCCCATTGTCTAAGCAACTGAGTTAATCCCTTTAGATACGCCCAACCCTGAGTGCAAAGTTTAATGGACCCAGCTCAGGAGTGATGACCAGCCAAACCACTGAGTTCAGCTGTGGCGTATTACTGTTTCCATCCAGATGGTGTCAGTGTTGAGCTGAATACTGACTATAGTCCTTGAGTGGATTGCAACTAGACGGATCCTTACCCCAGGCATCAGTGGTGATTTTCCTCCTCTCCACAGACTGGAGAGGCTGCCACAGGACACTCTACAGCGCATAGGAGCACTCACATCTTTAGAGGCAGTGGCCATCAGGCAAGGTGATCCTCTGCCGCAAATAGGCATGCCATTTGGTCAAAGTGGGGGTTCAAGCCAAGGCAGAGATGGGTCCAATAAAACATTCCAAGCCCATCCCTTGATAGGAAGGGCAATTCTTACCACGATATGCTGTTCTTTCATGAGAGTCTCTACCTGGAGGAGCCCTGTGTACACTGCTAGGAGCTGTTGCTCTGTGCGGGTATATTGGGGTTTTTGTCCCCTTCCAGAGCTGGGACAAAAGTCCTCGGGGCAGTCTCCCCTTTTGTTGTCTCTGCCACAGTCCCTGACCCATACCTTCCGGAGTCACAGACACAGCTAACGCAAATGGCAGCCCCGCTTGGCAGATGCCCAGAACTTTAATCTGCTCCACGGGCACTTTTGTTTTCTCCCCAGTGGCTTGCTGCTCAGCTCCCCAGTCCCACTGTGCCTCCCTCCGCCCCTTTGTTTTTCAACTAAGAGGCATAAGGGAGAGAGGCACTGTGCCAGGTGGGGAATAAAACTCCTCCAGAATCCCAAGTCCCTGTAATGGCTTATACCTCTTGACATGTTCTCAGGGGTTGGATAGGCTTGCACTTGATCGACCACAGCTTCCGGGACGCATGTGTCTTATCTGACCATAAGACTCCTAAAAACGTTATGACAGTGCCTGGACCTGGAACTTGCTGTGGGTCCATCTCCCATTTTATCCTCCGCAGATGTTCCAGCGAAGCCTGCAGAGCGTCCTGCTGCAGAGGCACGTCTTCACATGTTCACATCAGGTCACCAGTGCAATGCCTGTTTTACTGATGTGGGGGAGAACAGCAGAAACAGGTCTCAGGTCGGCATTTTATGACCTACTGTAGAGCTGCACAGGTAGCCTTGCGGGGAACACTTGGGAAACTCACTATTGCCTTATGCCCCTCTCATGTGAAGCCAAATTGATCTTGTGACTCAGTGGCCAGGAGTATACCGAAATAAGCATTTGCTAAGTCTAGTACAGCATGGTACACCCTTGGGACCATGACCAAGCTATCTAAAATGGTGGCAATATCAGACGCAGCCATACGGATGAGGGTACCACTGTGCTGCGCTGTTGAAAGCACTTTCGACAGGGTGTACAATACCCACTCAATGCAGTTCTTGGATAGTTTCTCACATTTCCTTATGCACATCCCCCCCAGCAATATTTTATTGATCTGTTTGCTGATTTATTTATTTTTTGTTTGTTTGTTTTATTTTCCCTGCTTTGTTTCATTTTGTTTATTTGTTTTTTAATTTTGTTTTCCATTTACTTTTCCCCAGACAATTTATATAACTTGACAATTACCACTGTTTCAGGGGCAATAGACTTACTGGTTCTCAGTTGGTGTTTCCCCTTAGCACTGATTTGATTATTCTAACTCGAAGGTAGAATTCACTGTTAGAGGTTTGCAGAGTTCGGCTGCATAGGGTATTAATGCCCAGTATGTTCTCTGGTTCTGGAAAGCTGAGAACCTCACACTCTCAGAGAGAGGAAGTAGAATGCCCAAATTTCACTGTTAAAGGGATCTTTCTGATTATAACTTCTGCCCTCTGTAATCAGCAATGACACTGAGGGGGCCAGAAAACTTCTCAGGGTAATCATTCGTTAGAGAGCATTTGGCTCCAGTCTCACTAGAGCATCACCTTTTATTTCTGGGAGACCAGTGAGCAGTACTCTTAAGGTGAGGCCTCTGATCACCTCCAGTGGCCCTCACCTGGAGGCATTTTTGGCCTGCCTCTTACACCTGGGGTGTGGAAGGCACCCAACCCAAACAGGACTGTATCCCTGAGGCCTCTGCTGGAGCAAGCAGGGCATCAGTTATGGTAGGGCCAGTGGAGCAGGTCTGAAGGCTCTAAGGTTTTAAGGCTTTCTACATGCCAAACACAGTACTGGGTTGTTGGTCTATGTTTTCAGGTGGGGACACGCTGTAGCAATGGGATCAAACCATATCCTTTGCTTCTGGGTTACTTTTACCAGACCCTTTGCCTTCAGTCTTTTGGCTTTTCGAGCTCCCTCTCTGTCTCTAGTCTTTCCCATAGTCTGTACCCATTCTCAGGATTTGTCAGTTTTCTCAGATCAACAATGGATTTGCCTAACTCACAAATGTCTTATCCCACAGCTGGGCTCATATAGATATTGGTGCCCGGTAGATGCTGGGGACAGACTTGAATATCTTGCCTTTTTTAAAAAAATATTTTATTGATTTGTTTTTAGATAGAGGGGAAGGGAGGGAGGAGGAAAGGGAGAGAAACATCAATGTGTGAAAGATACATCGATTGCCTCTAACATGTCCCCAAATGGGGACCTGGCCTGCAACCCAGGCATGTGCCCTGACTGGGAATTGAACCAGTGACCTTTGGGTTTGCAGGCTGGCACTCAGTCCACTGAGTCACACCAGCTAGAGCTATATCTTGGCTTTTATTCCTACAGTGAATGTGGTTTAATAAGGGCCTTCAAAGACAGAGGCGTAGGTAACCTGTCTCACCCTCCATAGATTTCCAGCCTCCCACATGTCCATGGGGAGAACCCTCACTGGGCCAAGCCTTCCTACAGGCTAGAATAATCCGATCTATAAGGAAGCGAGTACCTTGAGCCCCAGAGCCACATGCAGGTACTGCCAGAGGGCAATCTGTATAGCAATGTAGCTCATTTTCTTTGCCTCCTGCCCAGTCAAAGAAATACCATTGCTGTCCCTTCCTCCAAGTCCCATCACTGCACTAACCATGCCTGGATACTTGCCCTGGTCTTTTGCTAGAATTTGGCAGCTATATCAATAAGCTTAGTAGGAGTATATTTTCTCATCATGAATGTTACCTGGACTGGGATGCTGCCCCACTGGCTGAGGTTGTTGGTGCTGTGCTTTTATTTTCCTTTGTATTAGAGTCAAAGGTCAGGGGGCATCTCCTGTGTTTCACTGTCAATCACCACAACATCCTCACTTTGCTCTCCTCACTTTCCCAAGAAATCTTCCTCATAGTGCCCAAATTAGGCTTTGTCACAAGCTCAGAACTTAATTCAAGGCATACTGTGCCCTCCTAGCTTTGTAAAGTGGGACATGAAGGTCTCCAACTTATTATCTTGTTCTCCAGTCTTGTCTGCCAGCCCCAAAGCAAGCCAGAGCTGCATAATGGGCAACCGCACATCCTTCTCTAACCTCAGCTCTTCTTCCAACTTTCTTTATTTTTTTTTCCCTAAGTATTTTATTTATTTGTTTTTAGAGAGTAAGGGATGAAGAAAGAAAGGGAGAGAAACATCAACATGTGGTTGCCTCTCACATGGCCCCCACTGGTGGCCTCGCCTGCAACCCAGGCATGTGCCCTGACTGGGAATCAAACCCACAACCCTTTGGTTCACAGGCCAGCGCTCAATCCACACAACCACGGCATTTTCCAACTTTCTAATTCAAGCTTCAGCATCTAGTAGTGTGATGGACATAACTGAGCGGTAGCCATTCTCAGATAACAGTAATCTCAAGGTCACATGCTAATTTCCATTCTGCTTCTGTAAGCCCACCTCCACCCAGCGACTGCGCAATGCAACGCCACGTCAACCGCCTGCGACTGCGTTCTTTTCTTGCTTCCGCCTTTGCAGCAAGAATATAAGCAAGCCCCTGCCTGAGCTCGGGGCCCAGAATTTGGAGACTGCCTCCTTTGGGTCCGCATGCGTGAATAAATCTCCACTTCGTAAACCCCGAAGCTGTCTGAGTTGCCTTTTCCATAACAGTAGAGCATCAGTGAACAGCTGAACTGATCACAATAGTGGCCAGCCCACTGCAGCAGCCATTCCTTTCCCTTTTAGTCACAGTGCACTACGCACTGCTCTTCAAGCAAGCATATTAGACCAGCCGGCCTTTTCAGCGTGCTCCCTTACTCAGGAGGCAGACCAGAAGCATGTAGCACGTGAGCCACTCCTTCCCACAAAGAGGTAGGTGACCAGTTTTAGATTTACCTCACTTAACCTCTTTCCCAAGACTCGTTTTTTTTAAATATATTTTATTGATTATGCTATTACACTTGTCCTCTTTTATTCTTATAATAAAAAGTCTTAACATTTAAAAATGGACCCTGGCTGGTGTAGCTCAGTGGATTGAGCACAGGCCTGTGAACCAAAGCATCACTGGTTTGATTCCCAGTCGGGGCACATGTCTGGGTTGCAGGACATATCCCCAGTATGGGGTGTGCTAGAGGCAACCATACATGGATGTTTCACTCCCTCTGTTTCTTCCTCCCTTCCCTATCTCTCTAAAATAAATAAAATCTTTAAAAAATAATAAGAAATAAAAATGGATAAAAACTTAGAAAATATTAATAAAGTATGGACTTTAATTAATAGCAGTGTATCAATATTGATTTTTAATTGTGACAGTTGTGCCATACTAATGTAAGATGTTAACAATAAGGGTAAATAGGTGTGGTGTATATGAGAACTCTGTGTACCATCTTTTCAATTTTTCTGTAAATCTTTTTCTTTAAGATTTTATTTATTTATTTTTAGAGAGGGAAGGGAGGGAGAAAGAGAGAGAGAGAAACATCAATGTGTGGTTGCTGGGGGCCATGGCCTGCAACCCAGGCATGTGCTCTGACTGGGAATCGAACCTGCGACACTTTGGTTCGCAGCCTGCGCTCAATCCACTGAGCTATGCCAGCCAGGGCTCTGTAAATCTTTTTAAATTTTTTTATTTAATTTATTTTATTTAGACAGAGAGAAAAGGAGGAAGAAAGAGGGGGAGAGAAATGTGTGAGAGGGAAACATAGATTTGTTGCCCCTCACATGCTCCAGTGGGGACCTGGCCGGCACCCCAGGTATGTGCCACGACCAAGAACCACACCAGCGACCCTTCAGTCTGCAGGCCAGCGCTCAGTCCACCAAGCCACACCAGCCAGGGCTTTCTGTAAATCTTAAACTATTCTGAAAGTTATTTTTTTAAAAAAATACCAAAAAATAAATAAATAAAATAGATCTAGAATAGTATTTACTTGTTTGCTAATATTAATTAAATAATATCAAAGATGAATAAGTTTCTAATGTATTTTTTAAAGATTTTATTTATTTATTTTTAGAGAGAGGGCAAGGAAAGGAGAAAGAGAGGCAGAGAAACATCAATGTGAGAGGGAAACATTGATCAGCTGCTGGAGACTGAACCATCAACCTAGGCATCTGTCCTGACTGGGAATTAAACTAATAGCCTTTCCCTTTGCAGAATGATGCCCAGCCAACTGTGCCACACCAGTCAGGGCTAATGTGTTTTTAAAGATCAGGAAAAACTGACAAAACCAAATAATAAGAACTTTGTTAATAACAAATGCCAAATTCAACAAACCAAATAAATCAAATTCCTCTGTCAATGCCTAGGTGTTAACTCTTGCTTTTATTTATTGGTAATATACCTAACAGCTAAATCAGTCAGGTTCCTATCATAATACAGAACCAGTAAGAGATATATAGGTTTTTTCATTTAGATATAGGCATTTATTTCAAGGAATTGGCTTACATGATTGTGGGAAGTAGCAAATTCAAAACCCATAGGGCAGCTTAGCTGGATATAAACTCTCAAGCTTAAGCTACAGTTGCCACCACACACAGATGGGATTTCTTCCTCAGGAAAACCTTGGTTTGGCTCAAGGCCTTTCAACTCATTGGGTGAGGCCCACTTAGATGATTAAAGATAATGTTCTCAAAGTCAGCTGATGGTAGATGTTAACTACATTTACAAAATACTTTTACAACATACACCTCAAATAGCCTAATTGACTACTGGTGAAGATTGCAGCATAGGCAGATGTGGCTTGCTTCTTCATACAACCACATCAAAATTACAACTAAAATATAGA